TACCTGATAAATTATTAGAAGAATTAGATCAAGAAAATAATACAAATTTTCATCAACAATTATCACGTATAACACATGAAAATTCTCCAACATCCACTCGACGATCTTCTCATCAAAGTATTAGTGCAGATTTTGAATTACAAACAATTCCAACAATTTATCAAACAAATTCAATGCCAAGTAGTCCAATAGCACAGCATAAATTTTCAAGACATTCAGATACAATATTACCTGTTATTGATATTAGATCTAATGATGATAAACATAATCAAAATATTCGAAATGCATTAATTACTCGTTTTTTAACAGCTATGTCAATTGATTATGAAAAACAATGGTATCTTGGAATGGTTCGTCGAAGTACACTTAATATTCTTATTAAATCAGTTGAAGAAGCCAAACAAAAGAATTCATTTCAACTTCATTGGCAATTAATTGTTAAACATTTTCGATTAACAATTCTTCTTCAATTTCTTATTAAATTTAATTATTTTAATTTTATTAATCGTTGGACAAATCAATTATTATTTGATCATATTTATCGAACTATTGAATTAACTTTGGGTAAGTTAATATTATAAAAAAAGTATGACAAAATCATATTGAAATAATCGAAAAAAAAATATATTAATTTTATTTTTCTTTTTGAAGACAAGAGTTTTTCATTCTTAGAAAGAATTATTCTTTTTATAATATGACACAAACAAGAAAACTAAAAAACAACTGTTAGCACTTGATTCCTATGCGCAATTTATATATACAACATGACATATCTATTGTTACTAATCACAGGAAGATTGTTTTATTCTACCTATTTTGAGATATATTTCTTCACCATCTTTTTACTTAATTCTTCAGAAATAGAATAACGAAATAATTCATATATATTAACAAAGTCTGTCACCTCTATGATGTGTCTTTGCTGGAGCTCGTTGGATCTAAAATTTTTGAACCTGATGTGGTTCGAGACCAACTAGACCGACTTTAGTCGTAGCTAAGATGTTTGTCACATCTTTGATAGGTCATTCCTAACGTGTGTGTTACGATCTATGAAGGAGAGGTACAAATATTTGCCCTACACACTTCAAGAATTCTTTCAAACCACGTTTTATAAAAAAAAAAAAACATTCTATACCTTGATTGAAAAATTTGGATAGTAGCAATTTAAGAAATATTTTAGTTTGAAAAACTAAAACTTCTTCAAATAATTTTTTTCAGAAAGGACAGAAATGTATCTAGAGGAGAATGAAAAAATTAATGCTGTCATTTCTGAAAGATTAATATATTTGAACAAGAATATAGATTCAATGATTTTTAGAAATCGGAAATTAATTTCTTTTCTTTTTTATACGAATTCTTTTCAAGTAAAATTTCTGGATAAAGTTTTGAAGAATGCAACCGAAATCAAATAAAAAAGAATACTTGATACCAAATATTTGTAGTAAGAGTAGTTTTTATAATTTAGGTTTTCATTCTGCTAAAACACGACTGGATAATATTCGATCACAATTTCCTGAATTATCAAATATTAATGGAACAATAATGAACGAAGTATGTGAAGAAGTAAAAATGTATCAAATACTTGCCATGCATGTAATTCTTGATTTACAACAATCCTATCCACTTTGTTGGACCATTCAAATGACAAGACGATGTGCTCAAATGCTTTTAAAATATGAATCTATTGCAATTATTCAATTATATGAAACTGGTATGTTAGAAGAAAACGAATATTCACACATTCTAGAATTGATTGAAAATAAATTATTTACTCTCGAATATGGACGTATAAAAATGCCAGAAAACCAAAAGAAAATGCTTGAAGATCCCTTTGGTTTAATATCTTATTTCGAACCACTTTCTTCAGTTGAAAAAACTCAATGGAAAGTTCTTATGACACCTAAACATAAATGGTTTCAACCTGGTTCTGTTCTATTAGAAAGACATCAAAGAGTATCAATCGCTTATTTGATTGTTCGTGGTGTTGTTCAATGTAAAGATGATACAATCCCTACTTATTACAAATGTGGTAGTATAGTAGGAATTGATGCATTATTCTCTGAAAAATCTTTATCTTATGGTACTTATACTGCTAATGCTGGACTTGTCGAAACATATTTGATTGATTCAGTTTTATTAAATTTACTGTTATCTGATGAAAAAATGTCTTGTTCTATTTATAATGAAATAGCACTGCATATGTTAATGAATAATTATAGAAAATCTTTCAATTTAACTCATTCACAATTAAACATGCTTTTGAATGAAAAAGTTTCATTTTATAAGAATCAATCAAATTTAACAATCGATCTCGAAACAAATCAAAGATTATTTCTTTTATCAGGAACAATGACACGTTATTCAAACGAACAAGAAAATATTTTTGATTCAATGCAATTTATTGTCATTGATTCGCCAACAACATTCAAATTAAATTCAACTAGTATTGTTTATACGTGGACTCAGGAAGATGAAATTTATTGTTCAAACGCTAAAAAATTTAAAATTGATTTTACAAATGAAAATTTTCAAATTGATCCTATTGAACCATTTTATCCACTTTATTTAGGCGAATCAACTGAATTTTCTCCACGACGTCATTCATCATTAATCACACGTCCAATTGAAAACTTAAGTAATTTTCAATTAATACCAACAGAAATCGGAATTCAAAGTGAAGAAAATGTTCCAACAGAATTTTCTCAATTATGAATTTTAAATAATTACATCTTTACAAGAAAAAAAACACAAAGCTCACATAATTTGTTTTATGCTTCTATAAATTTTATTTTTAAATTATGCATATCTATATATATAATATATCTATCTTTTATAAAACTTCACATTCATATTGTACTTACTATGACTTTAATCAAAGAATATCTAAAACATCAAAATATTTGATGAAAAGCTCATTCGATTATCAGATTACATTATGACTAAAATAGCAATTATAATATAAATGATAGTGAACTCTTTGCCGACGAGAAATGTATCTATATGTTTTGAGCTTTTGGACAGGCTCTAATACATTGTAAGATCATCTGATCTTACTAAGCTGTAACAGTATTCTCTCTTCCTTTTGTATTGCTAATAACATAGTGTCGTTGATTTTTACTTAAAATATTTTAGAACAACATGAAGCAAAGCAGAGTTTCATAAAGTCGAACAGAATCCTAGAGTCATTGTTGTTCAATGGAGCTCGGACTATTATTAAAACTCTAATTTTAAAGGTCATCAGATGCTAGATTTTGTCGGATCTCTGTCATGATATGCAGTTTCAAAGTTGGAACTTAATGAAATTCGATGATTCTTCACAGAATCTGGTGTTATTCTTGAGACATACACGTTCCATTTCCAGCTTTGATTAAAAAACCTCACAATTTCTGTATCTTCTCAAAAAGAAACATATTGCTATGGGGCTAAAAAACATGTTATTTGTTAGAAACTTGATTAACTTTTTACAAGAAAATAAAATACTTCAATGTTATGATATTATTATCATTGAATTATTTTAGAAGAAGCGATTCGTTCACTTGTATTTTAACATGAAAACTATATTTGATCAATGCATATGAATATATGAAATAATATTTTTTTGCCTTTACTCATTTTCATGTGATGTTTGGCTATCTAAAATATTAACCATCCAATACATAACAAAAGTTAGTTAAATCTGTCTGAGAAATTTTTTTCTCTCCGTGTTCTTTTTAATCATTAATGTTTAGCAAGAGGTTGGTTCCTAATTTATATAGGTACTGGATTGACCACTATACTTATGTAGCATAGCATTCTATTCAGAACACGAAGATACTACATACAAAATATTCCTTTCCAATATCCAGTTAATATTATAGATGCTATAGCGTTGTGGATTCTTGATTAACCAATTTGTGACAACATAGACAAAGCTAAGTATTTAAAAAACATTCAGAAAAAACATCGCGTGTGTGTGGAAGTGTCCATGTAGGTATCAGTTTTCAGGTCATTCGCACTCACATCCGACACCTACGCTCATATTGTTTTATTATTATCTAAATATGTTTACCAGATGTAAATAAACAAAAATACATAGATTTTTATTTAAATCAAATTTCTTTTAAGCACCACAGATGGTTACTTATACATAAAATAGAGTGATTGTGATGTTAATCAATATATGCAAAAACATGATTTAGTTCATGATTATCTTTGTAGTTCATAATGGATTGTCGCTGCAAAAATAAAGAGAGAAAAGATAAAAATAGATAACAGTCACGTGGAAAAAGCTGGCTGCAATCAAACATTCAGATATTTCCATAATTACGGTTGTCGTTCTTCGGTATTCATACGAGATGCTGGAAAATAACAGTTTATTAAAGAGAACATAGTTTTTGTGGTTTTCTTGAGCATATCAGCTGAATTAAGGTGCGATTGCTTACATATCAATGGAATCGAGATACATTCCTATATAATGAGAACCGAGAAAGAAACCAGCGGCTCTCTCCGCGTTATCGGCTCTTGGCTGGTAAATCGAGGTTTTCCGCTAAAACTCATCCACTTTTTGTGATAGAGATTGGTTGTTGAGTAGAAAGACGTGCATCGAAAGAAATAGAATAGTTAAATAAATAGAGATTCTTTTTTCTTTTAATTGACACACTACTTGAAGTAAGATGTGATTGTTGTCGAGAATGAATTGGTGAATCTAAACAAAAACGAATTACTAACTAGAAACAGATTTGTTTTCATTGTTTTCTTGAACATAATAATTAAGACAAATCGTAATAGTTCTTGAGTAACAGCACGTGAATCTAAGCAACAAGGAACATTTAGTTAAAAACTTATTTATTGTCATTATTTCGTCAAATATATCAACCAAATCAAGTTAAAACTATTGTTGAGTACGATGATATCAACCTAAACATAAGGAATAATTGATTAAACAAAAATATAAGGCTATTTACAGTAGCTCTAATTACTTATTTATTTTAATATATAATTAGTATCGACATTTCGATATTTCACATATCATTGTCAAGGCCGAAATCCGAATTACAATTTAGATATTCTTTTGTTTGGGTAGTTGTATTCACTCGGGATACACTATTAAGTACTTCAGCATCAGTTAAACCTTGTAAACCAGCAGTAATATCACCACACCCTGCACATTCGTGCATCTTGTAATTTACATCTATAACAGAAACACGACGTTTAAACATTGGATAATCACCAGGCACCGCATTATTAGAGATATACACATGCCTAGCTGGTGAAACTATTGTTCTATCATCACAACACTTCTTAGATACGGTAGTTTCTTTATGATCCATTAAAGATAACAATGTGTTTAAGTGACCTTCGTACTTAAACATATCGAAATCCTCGAACCATATGAATTCTACATTATCACCGAGTGTTCCAAATACGAAACCACTAGATTCACCCGCTTTCCAATAGGTTTTTCCCTTCAAAAACCAATCTACCACCTCTGTCTTACCACAACCGGGAGCACCTACCAAATATAAATGAGATAAACCATCATTTAAAACACCTAATATATCCCGCGTGACCTTGCAATTAAGGTTGGGTTCAAATACCCGTCGTCGAAGAGCTTCCTCGGTTCGAAGCTCCTTAACATGCTGTTCGATTAACCCCACGGCAAATCTTGCATTCTGCCCGAGTGAACAGATAAATTCATCAACCTTGTCGATGTCACGTATTGTACGATACTTGGTCCGGGCATGATACCAACACCGTGCATATAACGATAATTCACTAACACGAACGTTAAATAAATAAGGTGAACGATCTTCTTTGGACAACTAAATTAACCAAGCCTTTGGAGACTTGCAGACCTAAAATGTAGAGCACAACCAGATATTATAACTAAAGATAATTCTCAAAATATCTAGGTGCCCTTACCTGTATATCCAACGAATAAGGATCACCACCGAGAAATAAATTAATAATATCTTGAACTTCCACCAAAAAATAATTATCGACAAAGTCAATAAAACAATGATGATGACGTCCAACAGCGACTGTATCATCAACTGATCCCGTATCAGGATCCAACGGTGGTGAATATTTTTCTTCACCTATAGCTAAACGTTTAACCAAATTACCAGCAGTTAAATATTCACCTAAACACGATTTACTCCAATCGGCATGATTAATAGTAACACAAAAACAATGTGATCGTTTTCGTCCAGCCATCGACTATATAAACAATCGACCATATAAAAAATGAATCGCGGAGTTTAAACATTGGATAATCACCAGGCACCGCATTATTAGAGATATAC